CCTTGAAAAATACTTGTCTTAAAATAACCATTGTTGTTTGATTTTAAATTTGTTTTAAATTAATTGTTATTGTTTTAAGATAAATAAATATTTTTTATTTTAACTTTATCACTCTCTATTTATTTCGATTAATTATTTTATTATAAAAAATTTTATTTTATCTTTTAATATTTTTAAAAAATAAATTAAATAAATACATAAATTATTCTTAAAATCTTTATTTAAAAAATTTTAAAATAATAATTATTTTAAGACCGGGAGCTAATGTGGTGATTATTTCCGTTTCTTGCCCCTTGCGGATATATTTCAGTTTCTTCCCTTTTTTTATTTTTTATTGTAAAAAATCTTCAACACAACATGAATGTCATCTTACTCATATGACAAGAGACTCAACAAAATATATAAATAATCAGCTCATATCATAGTTGAGCCATTCAACACGCTACAATAAAAGGAAACGAACCTTGATAATAACACCTAACTTATCTGATCAATGTCACGAAGAATAGGAGGTCCACTATAGAGTTTCAAAATGCAATCCATTGAGAGAGCATTAAATCATGGGAAAAAAAAACTAACAATCTAAGTAATTTAATAATAATTTTTTTCGTTGAAAATAAAAAATTATAAATTTAAATCGTATAATATGTGAGTGTGATGAAATAAGAAATAAAAAAAATTAACTCTCATTATGTAACTAACATAAAAAATTAATAATAATAATAATAATGGCAGAAGAGAGTCAATTTCTAGATCAATTCAATACCTAGTATCGATCCCTTGTTGACCTGTTTCCTTAACTTATTTCCTAGAGGACATGATATTGTCTATGAACATTATGGTTTGTATCTTTGTGAGAATAAATCCAAAGTCCATTACAAGCTGAGGTCGATTTATCATTTATACAATACTAGTAGGAAATTTCATGGAGATTTCTTATCTTCTCTCTCTTTTTTTTAAAACTAAGGTTAAATAGAAGATAGTACATATTTAATAATAATATTATAATTATAATATCACGTACATATTATAAATTTATAATTATAATATAATATTAAATTATTATAATATTTTATTAAATGAGAGAATACATATAATATTACAAGTACATTTTTAAATAAAAAATAAATTATATAACAATATATTATATTATAAATTTAAAATATCACAAAATATGATAATTATATCATATTTATATATTTATATATATATATATATATATAAAAGTGCATTTGAGGCACTTGATCTCTTGGCTTAGGGCAGGGTATCAGAAACCATATATATAGCTCAGATATTTTAAAACAGAATTCATATTTTTATTATTTTTCATTTAAGAGAAAGGAGTGAGTTAATTTTCCTATCTTTAGAATTGGAACTGTGGGCAGGACAATGGACCCCAGACGGTGAAAAACAAGGGCCCTCTAGCCTTTGTTATTATATCGTTTTTCCAAACTTTCTTCTTTTCTATCTGAAAGGGTCCAATCTGAACCTCTTCTTTTGTTCAGTGCCCAGTCCCTTTTTTTTTTTGAAAAAATATATATATCATATGGCCTTGTACCCCTTTTCCACATGGTAAAGCAAATATGCAGCAAAAATATATCAGGCATTCAGGAGGAGATGCGGCTTTACCCGTTATCACCCAGGCACCCACCTAAAGCCTTTGCTGCCCCTCTTTTTTTGACCCTTTACTTTCTCCCCTCCCTGTGTACCAAAAAGCAAATGTTATTGGAAAAGCTTTTAGCAAGTACTAGTAGGTCACATCTGAATACTTTTTTTTCCCTTTCGGGTTCGCACCTCACTTCCCATCCAATTTTAATTGAAATGCTAAAAATTCTAATCCTATCCATCTATCATAATACACCGTGAAGGTGAATCAATGATGATATATTAAAACACATAAATTTATAACTCAATTAATAATACGGTACATGTTTTTTTTATCAATGACAGGTACATTCATATCCCTCCTCATGTATGAAGCAAAAGATTCAAATACAAGATAAACGTCCCACTTCACAGCGGTTTTTATTTCCCTTTTTTTTTTTTTTTCTCCCCCTTTACCTCTCTTCTTGTGACGAACAATAATTCTATCCACATACATTCCACGTCCCACCTCCCACAAAGATGAAATAGACCAAACGTAGAGTAAAACAAAGTGGACAAGAAAACTGCCAAATCCCAAAAAGATCCAACAACTGAAAGCCCCAGAGATGGATCTTCAACACCCATTAATCTTGATATAAACCAGCAATTAAACAGAATACTACGAATGACAAAGTAGTTATCAAGATAAACAATTCAAACTCGAATTGATCATATACCCTAATTACGGTGATATGATTAAACCCTTATCATCAATTCTGCAATTGTCAACATTGTTGTTGTACCTGCAAAGCACCTTGCACTTGACCACATTGTTATCCACATAGAAACCAGGTGTAACCATGATCCGAACCATGCTTGGGACCAATTTCTTAGCCCTTTCTCCACCCATGTCGTCCATGTACGCCGGATCAAACCTCACCCCCTTATCCACCCTAAAGATAGGCAGGGCTGGATGGGCCGAGTTGGCCAAGAGGTGCACCAACCACACCCACTTGGATGCACCAAAGAATGCTTGCAACAGTGGTTCAGGCCAAGCTCTGTTCCATCCCAACATAGCCACAATCTCACTCATCTTTCTATCACAGAACCTACTAAACTCCTCACTGAAGTGCCTTGTCCCTTTATTCAAGACCTCTTCCCATGTTAGACCATGCAATTCATTGAATGACCGATAATTAGCTTCACAACGATCTATAGGATTCAAGATTTGGTTCACTGAGTTCTTTTCAAAGCCAGTGGACTCAAAATCTTCAAAGAAGGCCTTATTCAGCAAAGCTTCAAGGGGAAAAACAAGGGTCTTGGGACTCTTGGAGTAAGAAACCTTTATATCATAAGGCTGCAAAAGAACAGATATTCTCTCATAAACTTTGCCTCCCATGTGCTTCAGTTGCATTGTAAGGGATTTGCTCAATAGTCTAATTGAAGATCTAGCTTCAGAGACACAAACCAAAAATTGGTCAATCACTTTCTCGTTGAAACCAACACCACCATCTTGATTCATCGCTTGATAGAAGCTGTGACCTTTGCCGGTTCTGTAAGGGGAATTCCCACTGCATTCATCGAGCCCGGATTTCAGATTGTGACAGTAAACTTCAAGCTTGCTAAGCTTTTTCTCAAGCTCTGTCATGGAGTATTTTAACCTTGAAGCCTCCAGCACTGCCTCATCTCTCTTCCTTGTTACTTGAATGAGCTTATTTGAGAGCTCAGCAACAGCGACCTTCCATCGCTCTTCTCTCGCTGAGGGTGTATCCGTCGGTTTTGGACTCCTCCAGCTCGTTAAAGAATGGAAAATGGACTTGAAAATGCCGTTGGGACTAGCCATGGAGACAGATTGATGCTTGTCGACACCATTGTTATCCAGAGGAACCACAGATATCTTTTCTCGAGCATGTGGCCTGCAATTGTTGCATGAGACAGAACCTTCAGCACCCGATTCATGGTGTTTCCTAGCGTTGGCCTTCTTGCTTCTGTCGTGGAGAGGCGTCGGGATGTGCTTTGGCGTCATTCTTCTAGCACTTGGGGTTGCATCCTCAAGTTCTTCCCTTTCGCATTCTTGAATCTGCAAGCAACAAACTTTCCATCAGTACACCCAAAACCTATGAGAAACAGAAACATTCCAAACCCAAAATGGGGTAAAGATTCTTCCTTTTAGCTTAGTTTTCTCGAGAAACAAACAGAAAAGGAAAAAGAAGGGAACTTACTGGAGTGAAACGTGGGGAGTGCTGCAGGGGAGGAGGGGATTTGGATGAAGAAGAGGAAGAAGAGAAGGAGGAGGAAAAGGAAGGAGCCATGTTTTGTTGCTTCTTATCTCATGATTTGGGCTTTCTCCTAGAGGGAAGGGGAAGGATGTATGCGAAGGGGTGGGGGATTTTTTAAATTATCCTGCGTCCTCTGAAATGGGTGTGTGTGCTTTCCGGATTTCCCTGTTTCAATCACTTCCTTTCACCATCGGAGAGGTGGTTTTTTCGTCGGCTTGTAATGATGGCCGTGAATCAGAGGTGAAAGCCGCGATGGTAACTTGACCCTGGAGCAGTCAAAGGGAAATGGACAGTGCATTCTGATTCTGCACTCCAAAGTCAGATTTTTCTGTGTCTTCTTTTATATTTCCTCTTCTTCTTTTTTTTTTAATATAAAGTTTTAGATTTTTAATTTTAATTTTAAATTAAAAATTTTAATTAATAATTACCAACTTAATTAAATTCTTATTAG